TCCAAAATCCAAAAGACTAGTAGAGCCGCGAACACTGGAAGCTCGTATCATCAGCAAATAATCCGGCAGATCTGATTTCCCGTGGTGCTTATCCTCATGAACTTGTGACATCTTCCTTGTGGTGGAATGGTCCTGAACAGAGAGAACTTAGTGATGCTTCTTTATTTGAACTTAACAAGACTCTCATATATTTTCCTGCTTATGAGGATAAACTTAAAAAAACTTTAGACATTAATTTGAACTGAAATTCAACTTTTTTTGGAATACCGTTTTTGAATCAACACATAATTATGTTAGACTAATTAGAATCTTAAGTCTTATTTTCAGGTTTCTGTCCAGTCTGAAAGGTCCAGTGAAGAAGATAGGCTCCATTAATAGTACTGAGTTTCAAGATGCGAAAATGCACTTGATAAAAATGGTTCAGGTAATAAAATTTGCAGAGGAGATTAAATCACTTCAAGATCAGAGAGTAATCAAAAGAGTAATTTTTCACAGAGAGTAATTTTTTGTTGAATTGTTGGCGCGGTAAAAACTTTAAATTCATTTTTAGATGGAAAAGATATATTACGTGTGGGCGATTGCTTAACTCATGCCACAATTAATTACGAATCTACACAACAAATTTTGTTGCCAAAAAATCATAAGCTTACTAAGCTAATATTTATTCATTATTATTTGAAAAATTTTCATGCTTATCTTCAAGCATTGTTACATTTTGTTAAGGAAACATTTTGGCCCATTGATGGCAAGGACTTAGCTAGAAAAACAGTTCGCTAATGTGCAATTTGTTTTTGTTGTAAACCTATCATTTCAGATCATTTAATGAACGATTTACCTCCTGAGCGTGTAAATCCAAATCAAACCTTTCATAACACAGGGATAGATTTTGCAGGGCCTTTTCTAATCAAATATAGAAATCAAAGGGAAGGTAGTTTACATAAAATTTATGTAGCAATCTTTGCTTGCTTAGCTACAAAAGCGATTAATTTAGAAATAGTATTTGACTTAACATCTCAAGCCTTTATTGCATGTTTAAAACGGTTGCTCTCGCGCAGAGGTAAAAGCTCATGTCTATTTAGTGACAATGCAACTAATTTTGTAGGAGCTCACAAAGAGTTAAAGAAATTTGCTTCTTTAGTTACTGTCGCTGATGAAGTTTTGAGTAAGTATTTGGCATCTGAAAATATCTCTTGGAAATTGATTCCTCCTCGTGCCCCCAATCTTGGTGGAATTCGGGAAGCCGGGATCAAATCTTTTAAATTTCTTCTTAAAAAAACTATTTCCGATGCTAAACTTACCTATGAAGAATTTTCAACAGTAATTGATCAAATTGAAGGAATACTAAATTCGAGACCTCTTTCTCCTTTATTGTCTGAACCTTCAGATTACGAACTCTAGACACCAGGTCACTCTTTAATATGTAGACCCATAAACTCAATTGTAGAACCTAAAATTTTAGATCTGTCAGAAAGCAGACTGTCAAGATGGCAAAAATTAACTAAAATGAAACAGATTATATGGAAACGATGGATAACTGACTAGGTGCTACTTTGGTAGACGGTAGCACGGATTTTTGGCGATTTACATTGGCGCAATTGTTGGCGCGGTTTTTACAGTCGTCAGCCATCTTGCAAAATGCTGTTTTTACGTATTTCACGCATAGTAAAGTATTGGAAACTTTAAAAAAATAAATATCGTTAAAAATAATGGATTAATTTTTTGTTGAAAACGTTGTTTTCATTAAGATGGCTAACAAATGTAAATAAATACATTTACTAAGAGTATAAAATGCTAAAGTAAGGTTAATTATTACTTTCATATAATAGAATAAAAACATTGCGCCAACAATTTAATTGGAATAAAATATTTACTTAAATTGTATATTGAATGAAAACATCATACCAACATTTAAAAGAATTAAAATTTTTCAACTACTTAAATTCAAATCCTTTAAAATAAGTTTTATCGGATATAATTATTTAACATTAAAACATGTGGCAATAAATATCTCAGGAAATTTTAAAAAATATGTATTAAATTTTTAATAAAAATTTTTAATAAAAATTTAAGTATACAATAACAAAGTAAAAGAAAAAATATGTACTTACATTTTTTAAGCATTTTACTATACGCATATTGATAAGCACCAGGAAAAAAAAAATCTTCATCTGTATCCACATTGCTCGCATTCATTGAAGAAGCAATTAGCGAGGTTTCCTTCAAATATTTTAAATAAATTTCCTCTGACCTTGTAACAAATAAATAAATCTTTGATTAGGAAATCAGGTTGGCCAAAATAAGGTCTAAACGGCAATTTTTATGCCGATACCAATAATTCTTGGTAATTACCACTAACAACATTCATCTTCGAAATGGAGACATCCATTCGCTTTGAATCTGAGGAATTCGAAGAGATGAATAATAAAATTTTAAAATGGGTGGTAATGCACAAAATATTCAGTAACAATCAGGGAGCTATGGTTACATCACGCCTAGATTAAAATTATTTAAATAATCATTCCTAATAAAATCATATTTAAAAAATGCAAAATTAAATTGTGTTTTAATATTTAACAGCCATAAATAATGTTTAAAACATTAGATTAAATTTATAGATATTAAACCAATTACTTTTTTAAAATAATGTGACGTCATTCATTCATCACTCCCAACATAAAAATTCCATAAAAAATATAAAACAATAAAATTTTTATTTCAAATAAAAATGGCAAAATTAAATTCATTTTTATATTTAGAAGTCATAAATACTATTTAAAAACACGGAATTTATGCATAATAAAAAAACGCATTATTTTTAAATAAAATGACAACAAAAAGTATCGGTTACCATTAAATAACTTGTCTAGCAATGGGTTTACCATAAGTCGTATCGCTCGCCAAAAAGAAATCGCCAAAATCCGTGCAACCGTCTAACAAAGTAGTACCACTGACTATCTTAATCACTTGCAACAACGAAAGAAATGGTATTTTTCAAAGGACAATAAAAAGTAATATACAATGGTTATTATTAAAAATGATCAATTACCTCTTTAAATGGATACTAGGAAGAATTGATCAGACATTTCCTGGTAAAGATGGTAAGATATGAGTAGCAGTCATTAACAAAAAATTTGGTCCAATTAAAAGGCCAATATAAAAAATTTGTTTATTGCCTATTGAGGACAATTACAAAGATTAATTTTCATTGTTAATAAATTGTATACATTGTTCTTTTATTATACTTACATTTTAGCAATTTTAGTGGAAAAATTTGAATTTTTTACTGGTTAAAATGTTGATTTACTTACCATAATTATTGAACAAATTTGTAAATGTTCAAACTTTATCAAATTCTCAACTTTAAGTCGTTTTTAATGCTTAAAAAAATGAATAGCTGAATTGTTATCATTTGATATTTAATTGTATGCTTAGATTTAGTTTGCATATCATAGATATTGCAATGTGGGGCGGTATGTTGCCTCCTACGCGGCAATAAAAGTTCTGTACAGCGCATTGTTTCTGCGCAATTTCAAAGTTATGTACAGAGCATTGTTTCTGAGCAATTCAGTGAGTTAAAGTTCGAACTAGCGTAGCATATAGTTTGACCCGATTTCGAGATTCTATTCGATTTTTAGTGCGATCAGTACAAAAAAATGGTTGTGTTTGTAAAGTTCTATTATAGTGAACAGCGACTCAGGGAAGTTCATGTGATTACCCTATGCAAAACCAGCTCGGTAGAGACCGACAGTTAGGTATTGTCGGAAATGTCGTGAATGTTCCTATCGATTTAGAAGCTACTGTTAATCAGCTGCCGAGAAATTTAGATGATGGCTATGCCATTCACGTAAAATTGAAGAAACGTTTAACATTAAATCTGATTACATGCATGAGATAATTCATCCCGATAGTGTATTTAAAGCGGCATTAAAACAAGAACTTTACAAACATTGTAACATTTCCCTTTCAATGGATTAAAATGAAAACTGCAAAAAAAGTTTGATGTAGATAAGCTTATAACAGAATTTGAAGAAGAAGAGGAGGAAGAGAACGATAGGTACCTTGATTTAAATCCTGTGTCTGGGCATACCCTCATCCAGCAAGATCAAGGACTATGCTTGGCACCAGGAGATACGTTTGGTGAGGAATTTGCCTTTCCTAATATATATTGTGGTAAAGCTAGACATTCTGAGAACTTGCCAACATATATGCATATAGCTAATTCTAAAATAAGAAGATCGGATAGAAGGGCAACTCGACCCGATTATCTTCTTTATACTTACTGTAATTATCTTCGTATTAATTTGAGAAATGGAAATGCCTTGTGTATAGCTGTTCGTAAAAAGAAGTTATTAGAAGGATCACTGACGGCGGAAAATGTGTTGAATCAGGACTTTGTCGAGAGATTGATCGAATCATAATGATGCTTACAAATTTCTGAAGAACATAAAGAATGCTCCGGCTCATTGGGAGAAGGAGAAGACGAGACTATTTGCAGCCATCAGGCAATTTTGGGTTTACCTACTTTATTTGTAACGGTTTCTGCTGCTGAAACCCATTGGTATGAATTGATAAAGTTTTTGTCATACAATATCGATCATCGCGAGTTGACTCAAGAAGAATTTAAAAACATGGAATATTTGGAAAAATGCCGACTCATTCGAAATGATCCTGTGACTTGCTCTTTATTTTTCGACCATAAGTATCGTGAGTTGATGAAAACCTGGAAGTCTGTGCATGGTCCATTCGGTAAATACAAAATCGCTCATTCCTACTACCGGATCGAATTTCAGCATAGAGGTAGTCCACATGCCCATATGCTTCTTTGGTTAGAAAATACTCCTGAATATTCCCCAGATACTTTAGAAGAGTGTATTGCATTTATAGATGAAATGATGACGTGCAGTACAGAAAACCGTTTCATCGATTATCAGACTCACAAGCATTCTTTCACATGTAAAAAAGTTAGAAAAGATAGGAAAGAGATTTGTCGATTTAACATGCCCTTCTTTCCCATGGACAAAACGAGAATACTGGAACCATTCAGCGAAGAAGATAATAAACGTCGTAAAGAAAGAAAAATTCAAAGAAAGATCATTTATCGAATATTGACTATAAAAACAATGACATGTCTTTCGATGACTTTTTACAATACATCAATTTATCATTCGACCAATATATCAACATCATTCAATCCGGCATTAATCGGGCTACTGTGTGTCTCAAACGCTATGTGAAAGAAATCATGATAAATAATTATAGTCCAAAGATTATCAATTTAATGCAGTCCAACATGGATATTCAATTCATTTTGAACGGATATGCTTGTGTGGCCTACATGGTTGATTACATCAATAAATCTCAAAGAGGCATGTCGAAACTGTTAAGACAATGTATTGAAGAACTTCGAAAAGTCAATCATACTCTGCAGGAAAATTTGAACCAGGTAGCAAATAAATTCATAAATGCTTCGGAAGTCAATGCTCAAGAAGCTGCTTGGAGCCTGTTAGAATTATCCATGAGTAGAATTTCAAATATATTCTTTCCTACGTTTTCTCCCGGAGAAAGAGCTAAAATTTTAAAAAATAATGAATTGTTAAAAGACTTGCCGAAAGATTGACTAGAAGTATTTGAAATGTCTATTTTAGATAAATATGTTAAACGACCGACTATTTTAGAAAATATATGTCTGGCGGACTTTGCTACGAGATTCAATTACCTAAAGACCGGGTCAGGAAGATATGGTGTTGTTGGATCATTCTTTATATGTTTACGAAAGAAAAAAAGCAGAAAAATTCTGAGAGCGGTCGGTTACAAACGATCGGTTGGCGAAGAGAATTGCTACCGAGAACAAATCATGCTATATACAAATTGGAGAGATGAACGTAAGGACATTTTGAATCAGGATTTCAAAACGGTTTACGACACGAAACTCTCTATGATCCAGGAGAATAGACAAATATTTACCCGTATTGGCCACGACTTTGAAACTATTTCGATTGGAAAGGAAGATGATGATGCTCTCAATGAGATAGGAAAGGAATTGCAGGACCCAGAAGCGGATTTGGAATTTGAAGAAGACGATTTTAAAGCAGATATCGGTCTGGATAAGGCTCCTCTAAACCAGGCTGAATCACCAACGTTTCTCTCTTGGCGAGGGAGTGAACGCGCTGCCAATTTTGGCGCGTTTATCGCACACGCTGGCTGAATGTCTGCTGTTTTTTTAAAGATTTATTTTATAGACGCGCGGCATTCAGCGCATATAAACTTTCGGATAATTTATTAATTCTCGAATAGTATATAGAAGTTTTCACTTAAATAAAAATTTCGCGTATATTTTGTAAACATATTCAAAATAGCTTATTCTTTAGATGTTTCAGTTTCGTTAGCAGACTATAAATAAATAAGATATGAAATAAAACCTTTCAATAGTGTCAAATGGGGAAATAGTTAAAGCGTAGAGTGTGCAAATAAATTTATTCTTAATGACATTTTAACAAAAATTTCCAATAAAAACACTGTAAATTCATACTAAAAAATAACTTAAGAATATGTTGTCATTTAAGTCTGAGGTACATGGAAATAATTGTGCAAGACTCTGAAGAAACACTTTTCTTTTAAATGTGTGAAATATTTCATAACATATATGGAAGAAGAAAGTACAGCATTCTGAGTTTTGGATGCTTTTCTCCAAATGTAATATAAATACGAACTAGAAACCGTAATAAAAAGTCCTTCCCCTCCAATCAGATCACCTTTGTGTTGCATTGTATTTGTAATACTTCTAAAAATCCAATTTTTACCTAAATTAAAAAAACAGTTATTACATAAAAGATAATAAATTTGAACGTATAAGAATGAATTTTGTAATTTGAGTTATGTTACAAAATAATTCATAGTTTATATATTTTATACTTAATAATTTAGATAAAAACCTGTCCTTTTACAATTTAAGAATGTGTGTTAACCACATTCTTAAATTGTAAAAGGACGACTTAACCACATGTAATTCATTTCAAAGCATAAAAGAAAGCTTTTTTTTTTATTTTACAACAGCAACAAGCATTTTCATGCAGTCAAGTTTTTTTAATTGCTAGTTATTATACATAATACTTAATTTTGAAACCCATTCTTATTAGAAAGCATAACTAAGAAACTTCTTTTTAAAGCACCACAGTGATTGCAAAGAATGTCGTTAAATTTACAAAAGTATTGAAGATATATTGAACAGCATTATAACAAGAAAGTACTGTACAAAATATGTAAATTTAGCATAACTTTAGCAAATTTTTTCCCATTATTTTTTATTTTGCATAGTTTCCTCCAAATGAACCTTAATGGGAAGTTATCTTGCGAAAATTTAAAAGTATTAAAATGGCCTCTATTTAAGATGTAACTGCATTTATAATTATTTTGTAATTGCGAATAGATTATATTATTGCAATTAGATTATGCACTTACAACATAATTGCATAAAGTAATGAAATTAAGAGTTCACAGATACAATGTAATATAATTACAATGCAATTACCTAAATTTTAATTATAATCACTTATTTCATACCACAATATTATTACAATCACAATGTAATTTAAATTGGGTACTATATTTGCATACCCTCCACTCAAAAGGAGGTACTGATAAGCCTGGAAGTTATTATCAACAAAAAGCCTGTTCAGGACAGTTTGATGACAATTTCCACCGGGCGAAAAGTACATTCTTAAGCCCAGGCAAATCATGACAATAAAAATCATTTAGTCTTATGATTGACTATATTTTAAACCCTAAATTTGAATTCTGCACCAAATTATTTACCTATATTTTAACATACTTTATGAATTATTAGAAGCGATATGGCAAATATCTTCTAAAAATAACTGTAAAATATTTGTATCCATTAATTGATTCAGATACACACTTTTTATTATTTAAGTATATCAAAATAACAGTTTCATGTTCCTGAAATACAAAAATTATGGAAAAAGTTAAAGTAATATTCTTAGAAGCATATGATATTAGTCACCAGATGCAAAATTATAGTTAATTTTTTGCCCTAAATGCAATTTATTACACAGTAGTCAAATGTGTAACTTAATAACATGTTATATAAAAATTAATGATAATAAGTTTATCAGAAATGAATTAATTCTGCAAATAAACTTTCTGCACTTGAAAATTTTCTACACCTGAGGGGAGGGAGAGATCTAGTAAAATTAGATTTATTATAACTTCAGTTGGACCAAACACCTTCTCTCTATATATATGCATCACTAAAGAAATAAATAAAATTATCATGCTTAAAAAACAGATATACCATACCAGTTTTTTTTCCCCTTGTTACACTTTACATTGAGAAATAACAAACCGTACAACACTGAAAAATACTATCCTTGAAATTTTGTTTAAATGAAGGAACACACACATCCATCTTTTATTTAAGCATTACACTTCAAAAACAGATACACATACCAATTTATTTTCACTAGCCTTTATACTGAAAAATAACATGCCATATAAAAATGAAAAGAATTATTCCTTGAAATTTAGATAAAATGAAGAAACACATACCATCTTTTATTCATGCATTACTAAAATGAATAAAACGATTATTCTTCAAAAACAGGATACACATAATATACAGGATACACATTCTGACACATATTCATGAAGATTCACTGAAACAGCACAATCATCCAGTACTATAATATAACAAAATGGAAAAATTTATGCACGATGGACATCTTTTTTCTATTGCATGTTGTCTGACATGATCCACAAGTGCCTAAAAAATGTACCCAAAGAAACGCATTTCAATATTAACAAAAAATTGTTTTACAGATTAAAATTCATTCATTTCATACCAGTATTATAAAGATCATGCATGAAACAAATCTGCTTTCCCATACTTTTAAGTAAAACTTTTATACTGGAAAATAGACTATATTTCTATATATTAGAAACAAGAAAATACTAATTTGAATGTTCTGCATTCATTTCTAAATCTTTACTCCATTGCCAAATTGTATAATACTGTGATTATAAATAAGCTTGCACAATCCTTGCAATTATTGAAGTCAGATTATATATATTTTGTCTCACACTATTCAATTTATTCTATTGACTTCAGATGTCAATGTCAAAATTCTGGAAGTTATTTTAACCAAGAAACAGTAGTGGGCACCGTGCATAAACAACTCATCTAACTTTTTAACAATAGTGATTATAAAATAAAGAAAAAAAATTATATATCATTCCAACGATATTGCAACTATAGTATAATGTTACATATATCTTTAGCAAACATTCAGATTTTATCTTGACTTTCCAAATTATTATTTATTTTTTAATAAATTTCAATATGCTAATGATTTTCATGTTACATTAGTATAAATTCCACAATTAGCACAGGAAAACAAAAATCCGCGCTTTATATTAGAAGAGAAATTTCTTTTCCATATTCAAAACATCTACATTGGCGATGTTTGGCGACGGGTACATTAACCCTAGACTAATTTAATTATAGCTATTATGACCAGAAATTAGCAGATACTCAGGTTATTGTACACAAGAATTTCACTTTACTTGCACATTATAAACATCAGGAGAAGATATAAACTCTAAATGAAGGCGTAATTAACATTATACTTTACTAAGCAAAGTTCAGCGCCTGGACCAGGTTTCCAATTGTCTCTTCGGCAATTATTTACCCATATTTTTCTTCTTTCTTCATTTTTAGGAAATTTTACCAATGTATGACCTTTCCGTGAATGATTTGAACAATTAATAGCTGTACATCCGCCCATTTTACACAAAAAATTGTTGCACCGTAACCACTCAGCCGCCATTAAATCTCCCACTTGGGAGCGCCAATGCCTGATGATTCAGCCTGGTATATAGGAGCCTTAGGTCTGGATATGGAAGAGTATGTTGGTAAAGAGTTCATACATGGAAGAGTATGTTCAGAATTCAAAGCAGAATGTCGAATGATCAATTTAATTAACTCCCCCGAAAAGCAAACATTCGACAGCATGATATTTTGAAGCACATAATGTATTTGACAATTCGAAAAAGATCCATTTCACATTTTTATAACGGGTCCTGCAGGTTGTGGTATTTGGTAATTGGTAACAGACTTTTTTATAATAATAAAAAAAACTTTTTTAAACTACTAACTTTTTTATTTACGAATTTACGATGGCAAAAGTTCCGACCCCTCGTCTCTTAAAATCTTAAAACTTGCGTCAACGGGAATAGCGGCCTACAGTATTTCAGGACTCACTTTACACGCCGCTTTCGATTTACCGACAAAACTTCTCTCAACGATATCGAATTTATTTGTCAGTACTATTAATAAATACAGAGCACGATATAAGCATTTAAAACTCATCATCATTGATAAAATATCTATGGTGGGATATAAAACATTTCAAATGACTTTTTACGAGTCCAAGGGGCGTTAGCTCAAAAGGGCTATTAATTTCGTTTTGGCATTTTCTGCTGAAAACTTTAAATGTCTCGGTTCACTTTTCAAATTGTTGCCACTGAATATTATCTCCCTGTGTTATATTTAAAGAAATTAAATAACAAAGAATCTGCATAAATGTATGTGATAAAACAACGGTTCCTAGAACCATTAATTTTGAATAATGTAATCTTTCACCAAATATGGGCATCTGGAAACCCTAATTTGGAATTTATTTTGTTATTGATT